TCATTTCGTTGTACTACGACACCAAGATGTACACTGAATCTCTCCAACTCGCTTCAACTTTGCTCAAAGAACTCAAAAAACTCGACGACAAGAACCTTCTTGTTGAAGTGTTGCTTTTGGAGAGCAAAACCTACCACGCACTGAGCAATTTGCCAAAAGCCCGAGCTGCTCTTACCAGTGCCCGAACCACTGCAAATGGCATTTACTGCCCTCCGAAGTTGCAAGCCGCCCTTGATTTGCAGTCTGGCATTCTTCATGCTGCTGATGAGCGAGACTTTAAAACGGCTTTTTCGTATTTTTACGAAGCCTTTGAAGGATACGACTCAATTGACGCCACTAGCAAAGCGATGGTCGCCCTCAAGTACATGTTGCTTTCGAAAATTATGCTAAACAGGTTGGTAAATTTTACCTGATTTGATGAAGTGTTTTACTTATCGTTTATTTGTAGCCCCGAAGACGTGCAAGCTATTACTGTGGGCAAGTTGGCTCTCAAGTATTCCGGATCAAACATTGAAGCGATGAAAGCCATTGCAAAGGCAAGTCACAACCGCAGTTTGCACGCTTTTCAGGAGTCTCTAAAGACCTACAAGACTGAGCTTATTGATGATCCTATCATTAATGCTCACCTCAAATCACTCTACGACACTATGCTGGAGCAAAATCTGTGTCGCATCATTGAGCCTTATTCCCGCGTTCAGGTATGCTGAGCAGGTTTGAGAATTTGTTGTTTGTATTAATTTGGATTATCATACTTCAGGTCGCTCACATTGCCTCTTTGATCGAGTTGCCCATTGACGCAATTGAGAAGAAGCTGTCTCAGATGATTTTGGACAAAAAGTTCAGCGGCATTCTCGACCAGTTTGATGACGTGTTGATCATTTTTGAAGACCAGGTGTCGGACAAAACTTACTCTTCGGCTCTTGAGATGATTCATTCTATCGGAAAAGTTGTGGACTCGCTGTACCAAGAAGCCAAGAGACTGTCATAATTTCAATCTTTCTCTCTGTTTGCATTGTTTGTAACAGTTTGCTTGTTTTGAAAGCAATTACTACTTTTTTAATTGTAAAAACGTGAAGTGCTCACGTTTAAGTGCACCACTTTACATCATCTAGGAGATGACCGGCGAATGAGTAAGGCAGTTATTTGAACTCATTTTATTTTACTAAAACGCTTGTCTCATTTAACATTAAAATCCCTTAATGGTCTCACTTTACTTTATTTTGGACACTTTGCCGAAAATCTTGGCATAATCTTAAGGTAAGTATCATTTTCCCTTCTTTGCTCCGATTTTACCAGCTTCTCTCATTTTACCAAGTCCGATGTAATGCTCTCCAGCAAGTTTCTAATAAAAACTGTACGCTACAACTTAATCGGAACGTTTATGCCTGTCAACGGATCTGATCAAGTGCGTGCCAGTGATGGTTGCACTGTCCACTGGTCATCGCCACTGCACTTGTCATCACTGATATAAATAGATTGCACAAGTTCGTTGTCATTTGCTTGCACTTGCTTCAATTGAGTGTTCAGCACTTTTATGTGTGTGTTTGCCACTTTCTCCAACTAAATAAATCGATTATTGACTGCACTTGCACAGTTTTCACATGTTTTTTCCGGAGTGCATCTTTCGACCGTGAAATGGAGCATTGCCCAACAGAGTAACCCGATGGTGGGTGCGGTGTCACAAAGGCTCAATTTACTTGTTGTCCTGCAGTTCAGTTGATACTGAGGTCGATTAACTTTGCAGTTGCAGTGAGAACAGCAAAACATTGTCTTCCCGACTTGAATGTCCTTGTTCAAGGAGGGCAGCAGCAGCAGAAGCTTCGGTTGATGAGATGAACTGCATTTCCCTTTGAATGCATTATTGATGGTAAACATATTGCGGAGATGGCGTGAAATAGGTTCCTTCTAGGCTACTGCGCTAAAGGGCTTGAATAATTAAGAGCCTGCAGACTGCCCCCAACGGCTGGTGCCCCTCCCCTGTCACCGGTGTCACTTGACAAATCACCGTGAAGGCAATATTGGCCTGACACTGACCACTGGCCACCTCATGGCGCATACCACATACCGTCTCATTAATTCCCCAGATACTATTGTGCGGATTAATTGTCTTAATTGCGCGCCAGGTGGTCTCATGCTGATTGACACTTCGAGCGATGAACTTGTCTCACGACGTCTCTCTCAACTCAGCACAAGGGTTTTTTCGTGCAGGAATTTCCCGTCGGGGTGCACTGTGTCGCATTGTTAGATTCTCACTAGCAGAGTATTGCCTTACTGCCAGCTAAGAGTGGCGTACGGTAACATATGATTCCGTTTTTCAGAACTTTTGTATACTATTCATTTTCATTTGTTGAATATCTATTTTCATTTGAAAAAATGACAGCATTTGTATGCAAAAATAATTTTGACAATCGTCTGAACTACTGGCAATAAATGTTAAATAAGTATGATGCACAAGCTTTCACTAGCAAATTACCTATTGCAAATATTCGTTCCAAGGTACACTCATTTGTTGGTAGTGGGCAGTACCTCAGTGCATTCACTTTTCAGTGATCATTTAAGCGTATTGTCGCCTCTCATTGCCAAACTGCTTTTTGTACACCATTTCTCTATTCTCTTTGAAGTCATTAGACCCTTTTAAGCCTACATGTTAAAAGCGTTTGTGGGAAACGTTTTTGTGAGCATGTCAAATTATCTGCTGAGAAAACGCTGTCTTCTAGTATTGATGTGCGATTACCTGTCTACAGTTTGCCCTTCAGTAGTTCTGATTGTACGAAAACCGTGAAAGGTTATTTTTCTTGCAGTTTTTCTGTTGAAGATAGAAGACTACCCAAAACTAGCACCACCACCACCACCACCACAACAACCGCGACGACCACTACTTGCCGCATCAAGCAACAGCACCTTTCCTGCGCATTATTAGAGCTATTCAGTGGGCATCACCTCTTTTCGCTACTTCCTACCATTGCCGTCTTTGTCGTCTTGGCGGCTGCCCTCGCAAATCAATTATTGTTGTCCTCCTGTGTCATTAAATTGATAGCCAGCAATTGCCCACTACTTTCCTTATCACCTCTTTTTGGGTGTACTTCAATAGAAGACTGTGCCGACTGTAGTCAATTTCAGGCACTCCAAAAATGAAAGCTACCTATGGGCAGTGACCAGTCGAAAACAACTATTTATTTTAGCACGCGCCAAAAGGCAGCTCGTATAACATTCCATCATTGTGCACTATAAAGGTTTTTAAAATCATTCTTTGAATACCTACCACAATTTTTTTCTGACCGTATTCTAAAACATTCCGTTTTTCTAATCTAAATTTGAAATCAGTTTAGAATATCCCCGTTTAATCTGCAGCCTGGGGCACTGTTAGCGCCCACTTTGCTGATCAGCAGCCTCAGTTCACCTGTGAGTGCTGGTAATTGGCCAGTGTGCAGCAGAACGAAGTAAGTCTGGTGGGGTGAACACAGTGGATACAGCTGTAAGAGCGGCCACATGCGCATCAGCAGGTGGACGAGGCGCAGTCGTGAGAGGATGGCCGTAGAGGAGGCATAGTGTGCCTTCTCAGTTGAGTGGGCAGCCATGCCAGCACTGAGTTAGTCAGTCGGACGCCGGCTCTCCCACAGCAACCACTTGTGTGTCTTTCCGGCTCGCTTCGCTGCACGCGCCAACTTCAAATTCCTTCAACTGCAGTGTGGCACTGCTGGTACCACCGTCGACCAATCCCTTGGCTGCCGATGACGATAGTGCCCTCTTCGCGCTCACCTGTCCACTCTATCTACTTGCCTGATCGCTGCCAAGTGACCGCTAGAAAGTCATTCTATTTAATGTGCCCAGCAAAAAGGCAGCAACAACGATCTTTTGCAATGTGCTTTTTATAAATTTTTAATCAAACACTCACCGAATGTATATCAACAGCAGCAGAGCGCCATTTCACTGTCACAGCCATTGTCTGAGCAGTAAATCAGCATTTCTCTAAATCTTCTGGCAGCACTACTTATTTAATTATGCACACTGTCCTCTTGCTTCATATGCGTGAGCTTGATTGAAGTTGTCCATCTGCCTCTCTCCCTTCTGTGCCTCCCTGCTCTGTTCTCATCAATTATCCTCTAATCGAGATCGTCGCTTGCCAAATACCTTGTTTTACATGACCTTCAGCAGAGTAATTTGTCAGCAAGACCGGTGCTTCAATCTGTTCGTCTAGCTGCTGTGAGAAATTCAATTTGTTTCTCATTGTCAGTGGCCCGGACAATAATCATGATTAATTGCGCTTTGTAGATGCACTTTCTTGCTCGAGTGATGCGCTGCTCTACAACTGGACACATCTCTACAGCAAATTGCCGTTTTCTCTTAAGAAAATATTCTACCTATTTGAAACGTGCTTCTACAAACAGCCTCCAGTGACATTTTCCTTACATAGTGATTGCATCTTTTGACCTTTCGAATTTTTATTTTTAAAGTTTACTCTGCTATTGAACTGCATCAGTGTATTACCCAGCACTACCTATCAAGAGGGGTAGTTGCATGAAGTAATCAAGATGGATCCTCTGTGGATGTTGAAGCAGTCATTGAACAGCACTGAAGAGGCTGCCCTCTCAAATCATACCACCAACTCTTCATACTCAGATTTTCATGATCCTGCATTTTCCACACTGGAGCTGCTTGACTCACCTACTCGCACCTCTCTAGTCATCCTGTACTCAACTACCTCTGTGATTGCATTTGTCGGCAACCTAATCGTCATCATCGTCGAAACTTTTGGTCGTCGATCAGCTGCCAATTTGCGCAAATTTCTTATTAATTTGGCAATTTCTGATATACTCTTTGCAGTGTTTTCAGTTCCTTTCACTTACACTGTAAGTTTTTGCATCATACAACTGAAACCCTTTTTAACTGATTCAAAATTAAATATTTTAGGATTTTATGTATGGACGCTGGATATTCTTTCCATGGTTGGTTAATTTACAATAAACAACAAATATAATTTTAAGTTTGTAGGTTTGTTATTGATTATATAAAATTATATTTTTACAAGGTTGTGCCCTTGGGCCCAGTTTGTGCAGATACTCTCAATATTTGTCACATCATTTACATTAACTTTGATCAGTATTGAAAGGTGAGTAATTTTTCATTTTTTATTTCATTTTATTTTAAAAGTTTTAGAAATAATATTTTGCTATCATTTTCCACTTCAAATATTATTCATTTCATTTTGTGTCACAAATTTTGTTTCACTTAATGCTAAGCCATATTGTTTTTTCCATATTTTTTGGTTCATGTCAAAAAATTTTAAATTTAAATTCAAATTAATGCTCATTTTTAATAAAACTCTAGTTTTTTATGCACATCAAGCTAAATTGTTTGTTTCAAAAATTGTAAATAACTTCATAGGAATCACGATTGTTGAAAAATTTTTTGTTTTTTGTTAGCAATTTTAACTAACGAGCAGTTTTTATTAATCNGATATTTTGCTATCATTTTCCACTTCAAATATTATTCATTTCATTTTGTGTCACAAATTTTGTTTCACTTAATGCTAAGCCATATTGCTTTTTCCATATTTTTTGGCTCATGTCAAAAAATTTTAAATTTAAATTCAAATTAATGCTCATTTTTAATAAAACTCTAGTTTTTTATGCACATCAAGCTAAATTGTTCGTTTTAAAAATTGTAAATAACTTCATAGGAATCACGATTGTTGAAAATTTTTTTGTTTTTTGTTAGCAATTTTAACTAACGAGCAGTTTTTATTAATCCGATTGCAGTAAAAGCATTTTTATGTTCAAACTTCCGATTGAGTCAATTAAACATGAACAAATTTTATCAATCAAGATACTTTAATTGTAGCAAACAAATCCAACTAGCCAATTAAATAAAATTTGTAGATTTTATTTATTTATTTTTATTTTATTTTGCTGCCAAGTGACGCTAGTTGCAATATTTTAATTTCGTAAAGCAATATTTTATGTTCAACTTAAAATATGCAGGAAACTT